GATGGTACTGATGATTATGATGATATGATACTGATGATGATGACGATGCTGATGATTGTGCTGACGATGATGACGACGATGATGGTGCTGATTTTGATGATGATGCTGATGCTGACGCTTCAGATGCTGATGATGATGCTGATGCTGGTGCTGATGCTGATGCTGATGATGGTTATGATGGTGATGATGATACTGTTTATTATCATTACTACTACTTTTAATGCTCGTATTATTATTATTATCACCATCCTTAGTATTTTCATTACTATTACTATTATTATTAACATTGCTATTATTCTTATGATGATGATAATGCTGATACTGCTGCTGATGATACTGATTCTGATTAGGATTATGCATCTGATTATGATGATGATGACGATGATGAGGCTGATCATCATGATGCTGATGGCGACGACGATGATGATGATGATGAGAAGGAGGAGGGTGATGATGATGAGGAGGAGGAGCAGGAGGAAGAGAATGAGGAGCAGGAGGAGGACGAGGAGGATGAGGAAGATGATGAGGAGGAGGAGGATGATTAGGAGGATGATGATGATGATGATGATGAGGAGGAGGAGGAGGAGGAGGAGGAGGACCAGTGTAAACCCAAGGGCACCTACAAGGGTTCATTTCCACAGGGAACTGCCTCGTTGGGAGACAGCCTTTCGAAGATCCTGAAGCATGCCAAGACATCATGCTCGGGACTCCAGCGCCACAGATCAACCTGACTGTTGCGTCTTGATCCTTGATCTTGCCAGAACACCGTTCCTGATAATTTAACACCGCGAACCCACGAAATTGTTGCACCCTCACAACCCTGGATCCTTCCAAACCATTAGTTCTTGTACGTTGACCATGGGAATCGGTCTTGCAGTTTTTGTCAACGAATTTGCGCGGCGCTGAGGCGAGAGACACTTTTTGGAAACGGGTCGCCCTCAATTCATGAAATTCTTGCGTATTATCATGGCGAGTGTGCGCGGCGCTAAGGAGAGAGCCACATTTTGAAAATGCCCCGCCCTAACTTCATCAAACTCTGGCGATTTTGAAGCACGAATGTGCGCGGCGCTAAGGCGAGAGTCACATTTTGAAAAACTCCGCCCTCGATCCGTGAAACTCTTGTAAATCTCAAAACGCAATTGCGCGGTGCTAAGGCGAGAGCCACATGTTTAAAACCGCTCGCCCTCTATTTGCGAAACAGTTGCCAATTTTTAAGTTGCAGGGTCATACATGGTGAGGAAGTCTCAGGCGAAACGCCCAGCCCGTCCTTTCGACCAGCCTCGGGGTGCGACAAGGAGGAGTTATTTGTAAGGACAAGGACTGGAGGGGAGGAGGAGGAAGAGGAGGAGGAGGATGAAACTCGTTTGGGCCGTCTTGGGGCTGTCCTGGCCTCCTGTGAGGTAGTCTTGGGGTCCCTTGGGGCCCTCTTGGGCCGGCTTGGGGCTCTCTTGGGCGGACTTGGGGCACTCTTGGCCGTATGGTGGGTGTCTGGGGGTCGTCGTGGGGCCGTCTTGGCGCCGTCTTAGGCCGTCGAAGGGCCTTCTAAGGCCGTCTTTGGTCCCACGGGAGGCCCGCTTGGGCCGTCTTGGGGCCGTCTTGGATACCTGTTGGGCTATCGTGGAGTCCTCTTGGACCGTCTTGAGCTGACGGCAGCCCGAAAAGGCGAGAATGCGAACATCATTCAAACACCTAAGGGAAATCAGTGATTCTGGCTTCTTCTGACCCTGTTGAATGCCCTCTTGTGGCCATTTTGGGCTCTCTTGGAGGCATCTTGGGCCGTCTCGAATCGATGTTCGGCCGCCTTGGGGCCATGTTTGGCCGTCTTCGAGGCATCTCGGGCCATCTTGGTGTCCGTGGTTGCCTGCACGGGCCGTCTTGTAAGTTCGGGGCGCATATCCATCGTCTTTAACAAAGGCTCGTGGCTTATGAGGCCCTGGGGCGCTGGGTAGCAGCGTATGGGTATGCGGAAAGTGCCCGATCCTCGAGCGGGTACGTACGTGTGGTATGAGGGGTCTAGCAGTTAGCAGCCATGCGGGAAGTGCACAATCCTCGAGCGGGCGCGCACTGAATGAGGGTTCAGGCTTCCTGCGGGAAGTGCGCCATCCTCGAGCGGGCTCGCGTGGAAGGGGGCGTCGGGCAGTAGCTGCCATGCGGGAAAGGCAGAATTCCGAAGACCCTATCAGACAGACCTTGGCATTCGTCCACGCTTCAACGTGCCACGGGGCACGGTGGCGGATTTTGCAAGTTTTTTTTGGGAAGGGAGGATGGGCCTGTGCGCAGCGGGCAACATGCCCGCCCGCCCTCGTCCCTGTCAAAAACCATGTAAAGTGATCGATGGGTGCTCGCGCATGGTCCAGATTCTTCCGTGAAAGTGCACTCGGGGGGCCCGTTGAGGCTGGCTGGGACTACCCGCGGGGGCTTTCTGTGTGAAACTCGAGGCCGCACTCGATAGGGAAAGGTGCATTTGTAAGTAAAAAAGGATGCATGGTGGATGTGGCGGGGGAATTCCTGGACATGCAATGTTCTGACTCTCTCCACGCGGGGCCCCCGGAAGCCCCGACCCTTTGCCCAGGGCCCCTTCTCCATCCTGGGTCTCGGCGCGGGCACCCAGGGGCCGAGAGCGACAAAAACAACCTCCACTTTTTTCCACGGCGTGAGAATGTTGCGCTGCATGGGGGGGAGGAGCCTTCCCCTCCGCGTGCCCCGCCCCCGCCGCGCCCCACCCTCCAAGTTCGCCGTGAGCGCCATGATGGGCATCCGCGTGGCGGTCGCCCCCCCCCCCGCCCGGCAGACCCCCGCGTGCGCGGGAGGGCGTCCCCCTGACCTCGCCCTCGCCCCTTCGCTCCCCTCGCCCCGCTCGCCCACTATCGCCTCCCTTGCCCCCTCGCCCCCCTGGCCCCCCCTGGCCCCGCTTCTCGCGTCGCCCCGACGCCAGGCGCGGGCGCTTCAGCTGGAACACCCGCCCCCCGGGGGGCCCGCGCTTGGGTCCCCCAGGGCGGGGGGGAAGGGCGGGCCCACAGAGAGCGACCCCACGGCGTGAAGTCCTGCGAGAGGTGTGGTCGTCAGTCCCAGGCTATGGCGACTCAGGCTGCTTCAGCCCACAGCGCTCGACAGAGGAGCGGCGGAGAGGAGGGAAGGAGACGGAGCAGATGACGCGAGGATGGCCAACAGCCTCAGGAGGCAGTGCACGCTCGACCTGTCCAGGAAGATCACTTAGATCAGTTATGGTCGGCGTTAGAAAGATAGCGTACGATGTGGCGTTACCCGCCCGCTCATTTCACGCTACAACCCACCTTGGAGATCTCGTGCACCGAAGAAGCCCTGAGAGGGTGTTGGCGCGCACAGAAGGGGCCATCGCAGGGGGATCGCCTCACAGGTGTAGCGTGCACGGAGGGAGCTGCATTTTGGAGGATCGCGGATGCCGTGCTCTTCGGAGATCGGTGTTGAACGCTGTATTTGCGACGCCACTTGTACAACGAGGTCGAGCAGGCTCCCCCCTCCGAGGGCGGGGACCGTTCGGCGTCGAGCGGCTCGCGCGCCGCCAGAGAGGCCCGAGCCCTCGCCGCCACGGCGGGAGCCTGCCGCGCCCGCCTCTGCGGGAGGCGCGGCTGAAGCTTGGGCTCCTCCTCGCTCTCCTCCTGCTCCCCCCTGCGCGTTCTCATCGGGGTGGGCCCTCGCGTCCTCTCCCGTGGCGCACCTGCCGCTGGAAGGATGGTGCCCGCGTAGGCCGTCGTGGGATGTTTCCCCCTTGGACGGTCCTGCTTTGGGCCAGAGGTCTCCCCTCGGCGAGGTCCCAGGGTTGTCGATGTCGCCCCTGGTGTCGAATGCAAAGATCCTCATATGTTCCTCTGCCAGATGGCCTGCCGCTTCTCTACAGGATCCAATGCTCGGGATCGCAGTCGTCCTGTTCCATTCCGTTATGTTCGCGTTCTTTCCCCCTTCCTCATCTTGCCCCGACACCGCTCCAAGGATTCATTGCCTTTGCAGCTGGCCTGAGCGACAGCAGGGTGATAATTAGGAGAAGGATGAGGATGATAATGAGAATGAGGATGAGGATGGTGATGGTGGTGATGGTGATGCTGATGATGCTGATGATGCTGGCTGCTGATGTTGTTGATGATGATGACGACGATGCTGATGATGATGCTGATTGTCTTGATGATAAGGTTGTTGATGATGATGCTGATGATGATGCTGCTGATGCTGCTGATGACGATGATGGTGGTGGTGGTGGTCGTGCTGCTGCTGATGATGCTGATGATGATGATGATGATGATGATGATGACGATGATGATGATGCTGCTGCTGCTGATTGTGATGATGGCGACGACGATGATGATGCTTATGAAGATGCAAATGATGCTGATGTTGCTGATGATAATTCTGATGATGTAATGCTGCTGCTGCTGATTATGAGGATGCTGGTGCTGATGCTGATGCTGATGCTGATGCTGATGATGCTGATGATGCTGCTGCTGATGATGTAGATTATATTGATGATATTTATGATGATGATGGCGACTACGATGATGCTGTTGCTTGTGATTATGATGATGGTGATGATGATGATGCTGATGCTGATGATGATGATGCTGATGATGATGATGCTGATGATGATGATGATGATGATGGTGATGATGATGATGATGATGAGGATGATGATGATGCTGATGATGATGATGATGATGATGATGCTGCTGATGATGATGATGATGATGGTGATGGTGATGGTGATGATGGTGATGATGCTGCTGCTGCTGCTGCTGCTGATGATGATGATGATGATGATGATGATGATGATGATGACCATGATGATGATGGGGGACGAGGAGGAGGAGCAGGAAAGGGAGGAGGAAGATGGATCCCTGAGGGCCTGGCAGGCCCTCTCCGATCGACTTGCGGGGATCGGAATCGATAAACCGAGGTACACATACCAAAGGCCGCGTAAATCTGAGTGCGTCGAGGTAAGTCCAGAGGTGTCCAGACAGATCTGGAACATATCGCGGAAGCCCCAGCGCGAGTCGAGGGCCAGCAGGAGGCGTCGAGCCCGCAATGAACGGGGGACGGGCAGGCGCGCCAGGTGGGCCACGGCTTCGTGCCCGGACCTTTTCCGCGTGCTGGCCGGTGCCAGCGGGCGGCATGGACGTGGACGGCTTGAGCTCTCTGCGGCTGCGTCTTGGCTCCCCGCGCCGCTCAGCGCGGCAGCAAACCCAACGCCGCAAGCCCCGATTGGGGAGAACAACGGCACGATCGCTTCGCGACCGTTCCTTTGGGCCGAGGAGGGGGTCCCGCTCTGTCCGCTCTGCGAGCCCGGAGGGTGGAGAGGGCTGGGGGGGGGGGTGAGGCGTGCCGCTGCGCGGCGCGGGCAGAGGCAGGGAGGCAGGTACACAGGGCCCAGGCACTGCCGCCGCCGTCGCTGTCGCCCCTCGCCGCTGCCACCGTGGAAGAGTGCCTTTTTGCAGGGGGCAGCTCCTTCTTGCCGGCTCTCCTGCGGCACGCGCCCTGTTTGGTCAGGTCTCGCCGTCGCCGCCGTCTGCGTCGCCGTCGTTGAGTGACTGAATCGGTGCTTCCGCTAAGGGGCCCCTTGCTAGTTTGGAAAGGCTTCTGACATCATGATGGCTTTGGTTTTCGCCTGCTTGCCTTGGTGCTTTCTGGGGGGTGCGATATGGCTGGTGCCCCATCGTGTCTCTGGTGGTTTCCCTTTTTCTCGTTCTTGCCCTGGTGCTCCAAGGATGGTGCTCTCGGGGAGGCGCCAAACAGCCCGTGCTGTCCTGTTTTGGGAGAGCCGCCTGCGATCATAGCGTGGCCATCTTTTCACCCTGAGTATCTGCAGCATGCTGCGTCCTTCTCGGCAGAGGGCGGACGCAGTGCAGCATCAGCGCGCTTTTCCTATCTGCTCCGTCTCCTCCTCGCCTCTCCCTCCCCCCTCCATTGCGGTTGCACCTTTTGGGCCAGGCCTCGGTGAGTCAGGTACGCAGCCCAATGCCTGCCAGCCTCGCTCTTTCTGTTTGATTTCATTGGCCATATCGGCTTTGAGGCATGATGGCATGCAGCGCGTTCTCCTCCCTTTCAGGCCATGGTTCGATGCAGAAGTTTACCTATTGCACGTCGGCGTGTGTGGTGTTCCCGATGTGAGTGGCGACTTGTTTGATCCGCACTGTTGCAGTTGACTCCGAGATTTGTGGAGATCCGCGGTCGCGCTCCCATCCTTCTCCTTCTCCAGCAAAAATTGCCTGGGTGAGTCTCTACGGCGGTTGCCCAATGATGGCTCTCATTGGTTGCAAGTTTCTGTTATTGATACAGCAGTATTCTATGGCTGCTGGCCTGTGATGGGTTTGGTGGTGGCGAGTTTCGCGTTCCTGCACAGGTGTTCTATGGGCGGTGATGTCTTGAATTGTTGCGGGTTTAGAATCCCTGCCCTGGTGTTTGAAGGGTGGTGCTCGATGGTCGGTGCTCTGTGGTGTCTTCAATGGCTGCGGGTTTTGCGTTCTTGCACTGGGATGGTATGATTTGTGATCTATGCCGGACGCCCTTCTTGATGTTTGTGTGTGTGTGTGTGTGTATGTGTGTGTGTGTGGGTGTGTGTGTGTGTGTGTGTTTGTGTTTTTGTTCTGGTGCGTTGATTGTGGTACTTGATACGTTTATGGCAGGTGCCCAACGATGACAGGATGTTTGTGATGTTTTTCATGTTCTTTCACCAGGTGCTCTATGGGTGGTGCTCAATGATGCTTTTGATGGTTGTGGTTTCTGCGTTTGCGCTCGGTTGTTACACGGGTCGTTGTTTATGGTTGGTGCCCCATCGCGTAAACTTAACCACGTACACGCAACGTGCCCAGATAGCATGGGTACACAGGTTGCACCTCACACATTGGGTGGCCGCTAGAGCTGTCCCGTCCCAGGGAAACCGCGACTACAATGCTCAAGTCTTGTGCTTTCATTCTGGAAACCAGCAGGCGCTCATGCTTCGCAGCGTGTAGCAAACCTCAGGGGCGATCTGCATCTTACGGCGGCCGAGCAATGTGAATTTCCAGTCCCATATGGCGGACCAGGAGGGTGGAAGGATGATGAGGAGGGGTTGGAGGAGGAGGAAGAAGAGGGTCAGGGCGATCAGGAGAAGGGGGGGAGGAGGAGAAGTAGGGCGAGAAAGATGGAGAGAGGGGGAGAGTGTGTGTGAGAGAAGCGCACCCGACCAGTCCTCGGTCAGGTCGAGTGCCAGTCGATCTTCGACAGCGCTTTCGTCTCCGCCACGGGGGCGAAGACGGCAGGCGGGCCTGCCGCAGTGGTCTCCGCTTCTGCCGCTGCTGCTCTGTTGCTACTGTCTCCTGATGGTCGCCGCCTCCGCAGCCGTCGGCTTGGTCGTCGTCGTCGTCGTCGTCGTCGTCGTCGTCGTCGTCGTCGTCGTCGTAGCCGTCGTCGTCGTCCTTGCCGCCCGTCCCGCTTGTCGGTCCTCTCTTACGGGTCGGACGAGGGGGGGGGGTAATGGGGGAAGGGGGGGAGGGCTAGGACATCTGCTGCGTGCAGCTGGTTCTGACACGCCGCGGGGCACAGTCCTCGACACACGGGAGCCGCCGCCGCGGGGACGCGCTGGGAAAATTGGCCACGTGAGGCTGACTCTTTGACCCCCCCTTTGCTATCCCCTCCTTTCGTAAGCCTCCTCTTCCCTCCTCCCCCACCTCCTCTCCAGGAGTTCAGTGGACCTCTCCGCCACTCGGGCGGACGGCAACGGGGGGCAATGAACGCGGGGGGATCGAAGACTGCAGGGAGGTGGCCCCCAATGGGGCCCTAATATGGGCGGCCCCTAGCTGCCACCGCGGGCCCAACAGGCACTTTTCAGTCAGCGGCCGCGGGCGAGCGCGTCGGCGGCGAGTCAGGTCAAAGCGGGCCACGCAGCGACGAATTAGACTAAAGCAGCGGAGACCGGCCACACCTAAAGCGGCTAACCGGGGCCTCACGCGGCGACTCAGCGGCGGACCGGCGAGTGGCAGGGGGCAGCTGAAACTGAGTCGTACTGCCAGCGTGCAAGTATGCATGGCGTCGGAAGCACCAGGAAGTCGGGACAAACGACGACCCGGGTCGGAAGCCGAGGAATTAATGCATGGGCCCGAACCCCAGACATCTGCGTGAGTACCAGGGTGGCCGCAGCCAAAGGACCGTCGGTCGGGGTTGAATTGATTGTTGCAAGGACGAAGCCCTGGACGACTGCGTGAGTACCAGGGTGGCCCGAAGGACCGCCGGTCAAATAATTAAAGCCAGGAGGCGAAAGCGTTGGCAGGCTGCAAATCCCAGGGTGGTCGTAGCCGAATGGTGGGCCCAACAGGTACGCGAAAGGTGCACGTTTCCTCGCTCCCGTTGATTGCCCCCCTCTGCCCCGTCTTCCTCCCCTTCCTCCTCCCTCTCCCTCTTCTCCCTGCCTCGTCTGCTTGCGGCTGCTTCCCCTCTCCTCCCCCCTTCCTTGCCCCCCGCCCTTCCCTCCCGCTCCCTGCCTGCTGTCTCCGCCCGGCCCCCCGTCCCGCCTGCCCGCCCGCCCCGCCGGCTCTGGCCTCCCGCCTTCGACGTGCGTCGTCGTCCGCCTGCTGCTCCCCCCCCCTTCGCCGGGCAGCACAGCCTGCCCGGCGGCAGCGAGGCGGCGCATGGGGGCGGGCCATGCCCAGGCCACCTGGGACAAGAGGCTCAGCCCCTCGAGGCGCGTCGTGGAACCCGCTCGTCCCATGGGCCCAGGCTCGGCCTTGTCAAGATCGGCGATGGCTTGCTTTCCTCAATGCCTGGGCATCGCTCGGACGTGTACATTTTTTCTCGGCGAGCACCATCGAGGAGCATCCTGGATCCTCTGGCAAAAGAAGCACACACGAAGCCGAACAATGCATGGGGAATGGACGTCCGAGCAATGGCAAGATACGGGCTCTCCAGCAGTGCCGACCCTTTCCACAGGCCAGTTCTTCATCCACAGCCGTTTTTTTGACTGTCCCGGGGCCGTGAGGGTCCCTTCGAGGCCGAGAACGCGAAAATCCCTCGGTCGTTTTTTGGTTATGTTTTATACTATTAGTACCGTTTTTATTAATATTATTATTATTGTTACTATTATGGTTATTATCATCCGTCTTATTATTATTATTATTACTACGATTCTTATTCATATTCTTTTTCTTATTCTTATACTTATTCTTATTCTTATGATGATGATGATGATGATGATGATGATGATGATGATGATGATGATGATGATGATGATGATGATGATGAATATTATTATTATTATTAGTATTGTTATTATTATTATTATTATTATTATTATTATTATGATTAGTATTATTGTTATTACTACTATTACTATTATTATTATTATTATTATTATTATTTATTATTATATCTTAGTATTACTTTTATCATTATCATTACTATCATTATCATCATTAATATTATTAGGTTGTCGTTATGTGTGTGTGTGTTTTGTCTTCACACACACATATATATATATATATATATATATATATATATATATATATATAAATAATATAGATATGTCTGTACATGTATAGATATTGTTTTTGTTGGATTTGTTTTTCCACGTCGCACCCGAGCCACGGGCTGCCAGCAAGGGCCGTCCGAGGCCGCGCGGCTGGGCTCGGGGAGGGCAGGCCGTGGCCGCGCCCGAAGGCGCGTCCCGGGGGCCTGCGCGCTCCACGGGTCGGAGCTCTCTTTCCCTGGAGAGCTTCTGTCGCGTCGAGGCAGCCTGTCGGCCCTCCTCCTCCCTCCTCCTCTCTTCCTCCTCCACCTCCTCCTCCTCCCTTTTCCTCCTCCTCCTCCTCCTCCTCCTTTTTCTCCTCCTCCTCCTCCTCCTCCTCCTCCTCCTCCTCCTCCCTCCTCCTCCTCCCCCCTCCTTCTGGGAAGTCCTCGCTTCGGAGGCTTTTGGGAAGTCCATTCGATCAATCCGTCGCCCAGACAGCGAGTGAGGCTGCCCCCCCCGCCCGCCGGCCAGCCAGTCAGCCGGCCAGCCCGTCAGGCCAGTCTCCCAGGCCAGGTCGACGGATGCCGCATGCCCGTTCCAGGCAGATCCAGGAAGGGCGCGTCTGGAGGACGCGTGATGGGGGGGCGACCAAATGGGAGGGCAGCGGGGGGTGCCGAAAAGGAGCCCCTTAGGGCCTCCGAAAGAGCCTTTTAGGGCCCCAAAGGGGGCCTTGAGGGCCCGAAAAGGCCACCTTTCTCCCCCCACCAATCCTGGGCACGGGACTGGTCTGGACAAGGTGCAGGTGGACGGTCGGCGCTCCCCGAAGGAGGACGGTGGGAAGCTGAGGTTCGGCGGCGAGCGAAGGGGGGAGGTGAGAAGGAAACGTGCCCTCTCAGAGGGGGGCGGGGCTTCTCAGAAGCCCTCGCGCCTTGTGAGAAGTTTCTCCCGTCTTCGGGGAAGGCTTAGGAAACTTATCAGAAGGTCGGGGGACTTCCAAGCCTTCCGATAGGGCCCGCCCCTTCTCACTTCCCCCCCGGGCGCGCCGCCGATGTGACGCCTCTGGGGGGCCTGTTGGGGGCCTTCTGGGGGCCTCGTGGGGGGGTCCTCTTGGGGCCTCTCAGGGACCTCTTGTGGGCTTTTTGGGCCTGCTGGGGGCCACTTGCGGCGGTGAACTCGGAATGTCGGTTCGTGTCCCCCCTCTGGGATCCCTCTTGGGACGTTCTTGGGGACTTCTTGAGCCGTCTTGGAGGCCTCTTGGGCCGTCTTGGGGACCTCTTGGGCCGTCTTGGTACCCTCTTGGGGGCCTGCCTCTTGGGTCGTCTTGAGGCGATCTTGGGGGCCTCTTGGGCCGTCCTGGAGCGTCGGAAATCCGAAAAGACGGAAACGCGAAAGTCCGTCAAACCTACCAGAAAATCATGGATTTTTGCCTCGTGGGACCCTCTTGGGAGTGATCTTGGGCCGTCTTGAAGGCCTCTTGGGCCATCTGGAGGCCATGTTGGGGGTCCTGGATCGCCTTTTCGGCGAATCGGAGCGGTCCTGGACACATCGGAGTGTTCGGGAGATCGTTGTGGGCGGGCACAGCGTCCAGAGGACCGCCAGACACGCCCAAGAACTCCTGGGGAAACCCCGGAAGACCCCAGGCGACCCTGAGACGGCCCGAAATCCGCACGGAGCTCCACGAGTGTGTCTTTCTGCCGTTGTTTGCTCCTCTGAGTATGTCCTTTTGCGTCCCGCCGCCCCCAGATAGCTTGTGCTCTCTGACTGCTGCTGGTGGCGGATGTGCGCCCGGCGCGACACGGAGAAGAGGCTCGGCGGGCAGTTGTCTTCTCTCGCTCTGAGCTTCTTGGTTCCGCCTGCTGGGAGGTGGCACAGCTCAGCTTCTCCAACCTGTCACCAACAGCTGGCTGGATATCCAGGGAGGCATGACATCGGGGAGCACCCTGGGGAAATAGCTTCCTCGACCACGTGCGCTTCTGAAGAGGCTCCCGCCCACCCGCGCCGCCCTCGGCCGGCGGCGTCGCGCGCCCCGCGCCCCGCGCCCCGCGCAGAGCTCGGGCCTCAGCGCGCAGCACCATCCCGAGCCCGTCCCTCGGCCCCCCGCCGCTCCCCGCAGCCGACGTGGACGCGTGGTGGCGGGCCGCCCTCCCGGACCTGGGGCTGGTCGAGTGCCTCCAGCACGCGTGCGTCGCGTACGAGGCGGGCCGCTCCGCGAAGGGGGTGGGCGGGCGGGCGGGTGGGGGGGGGCCCGGCCCTTGCACCGCTCCCTGCCTCGAAGAAGATCAGAGAAATAACATGGCGAATATTAAGAATGAGCGTAATGACATAATAATCATAATGAATAATATAATTATCACAAGAATAACAACACGAATAATACTGTTGATACTGGTATTACTCGCATCAATAGTAAGACTAGTAATAATAATAATAATAATAATAATACAAACCGGAAGAACAGTAAGAGGACGACGAATACTAATACTAAGAATCATACGAATGCGAATAATATGCACAATGCAGATAAGACGAGCAAGACTAGCAATAATATCAATACTCATAGCAGTAGAAAAGAGAAGAAGACGACTGAGACGCGGCATGCACATAAACTGTTGACGCGCAGCGCGGACTTCGTGGATCCGCGCCAGGCCCCCCTGGCGCCGCCTCCGGCGCCGCCCCTGGCGCGCCCTGCGCGCCAGCGGGGGGGTGGTGGGCCAGCGCAGATCCAAAACGTCCGCGCGGAGCGCCTCAAAAGCTTGTGCTAAGTCGGGCCTGTCCCTCTACAGGGGGAATATTGAGAAATAGTCAAAAAATAGTCATGGAATTATGGTTTGACCATTTTTGGGCATCTTTAGGGTATTTTTTGGGTATTTTTAATTTTTCGTCCAAAATCCGCCTGTAGGGGGACAGGCCCGACCTAGTGCCTGTGGCGTCTTTTCTGCTTCTGCGGCCAGCCCTCCCCTCTCGTGGTCGTGCCGCTCGTGGGCGCGGAGGCGAGGGCCGCCTCGGGCTCTCGGGCTGGGGGCTCTGGCGTGCGGGCCGCTCCGCGGGCCCATGTCGGGGGGCCTCTTTTTCGAGTATGGAATCGACTACAAAGTTGGTTTCTCGTCGAAATAACGATGAAGTGCGTGGCATGGTCGGAGGAGGAGGAGGAGGAGGAGGAGGAGGAGGAGGAGGAAGAGGAGGAGGAGGAGGAGGAGGAGGAGGAGGAGGAGGAGGAGGAGGAGCGTTCTACGTCTACGTAGTTTCGTACATTCGACGAGAAAATCAAGTTTGAGGTAAACTAGCAATTCAGTAGCCGATGCCCTGCTGGACTCCTTACCGGCCGCAGCCGGCCGTGGCCAGAGGAGCCCCTTTTCGGCCCCCGCTCGGCGTTCCGTGCGGCGAGGCACGCCGGCGGCACCTCGCCGTCTCCTTCCCTCGGGTTGGCCCGGAAGGGGGTCCAGCGACAAGGGGGGTGGTGCGATAGATTTGGTGCAATAGAATTTTGGGGTTGCAGTACACTTGGGGCGTGCAATAGATTCCGGGACCTCGCCGCCTCCTTCCTTCGGGTTCGCCCAGACGGGGGTCCAGCGATGAGGGGGTGGTGCGATAGATTTGGTGCAACAGATTTGTGTGGGGTTGCAGTACGTTTGGGGCGTGCAGTAGACTCCAGGGGCGCAAGCGTACTGCAGGATTTTTTTGCGTGCAGTACACTTGCTGGCAATACAGTGCGGGAAGGATGCTCCTGCTTCTCCTCCTCCCCTCCCACCTCCTCTCCTCCTCCTCCTCCTCTCATCTCTCCCTCCTCATCTCCTCCTCTCTCTCTCCTCCCTCCTTGTTTCCTCCTCCCCCTCCTCCCCTCTTCTCCTCCTCTCCTCCTCGTCCTCCTCCTCCTCTCTCCTCCTCCTCCTCTTCCTCCTCTACTCCTCCTCCTCCTCCTCCTCTCCCTCCTCCTCCTCCCCCTCCTCGCCTCCTCCTCCTCCCTCCTCCTCCTCCTACTCCTCCTCCTCCTCCTCCTCTCCTCCTCCGCCTCCTCTTCCTCCTCCTCCTCCTCCTCGTTCTCCTCCTTCCCCCTCTCGTTCCCCCCCCCCACCCCGCCTTCTTGTCTTCCTTGTCGTCCTCCCCCCTCCTCCCCCTCCTCCTCCTTCTCCTCCTCCCTCCCCCTCTATCCTCCTCCTCCTCCTCCTCCTCCTCCGTCCCTCCTCCTCCTCCTCCTCCTCCCCCTCCTCCTGCTCCTCATCTGGCGCCGCGAGTGCTCTGCTTGATTTCTTGCTTGGGTGGCGGGCCCCCCCCCGCGCCGTGGGGTCTTGGCGCTCTGCGCCAGCCCCCCCCGGGGGCAGCCGTGGCCTGGCGCGTCCTGCCGCCTTGGCGTCGGTCCCCCGCGGGGGGAGGCTTCCGGGCTCCTCCCTCCTAGGCCGATGCTCTTCCCTCGCCGTCGTCGTTCCGCTGCTGCCGGGGATAGGTGCCGCCCGAGGGCACCGCCTACAGCGCTCCCACCAGGGCACTCACCCACGGGCGCCTGGCGGACCCGTTCGTCATAGAGGACCCCCCCAGCCGGGCGACGGCGACGGCGACGAGGACGGCGAGGGCGAGGGCGACGTGTGCGGTGACGATGACGGCAACGACAAAAGGGGTCATCGTCGTCGCTGGGGGGGAGGAGGATGGAAAAGCAGGGTGGGGGGGGGGGCGGAGGGAGGGAGGGAGGGAGGGAACTAGGGGGGAGGGGTAGAAACTGGAGGCTGGATTGGCCCGCCTCCAGAGAGGCAAGTCCCGAAAGGGGAATGATGGACGAAGGGGAGGAGAAGTATGATGATGCTGCTGATGACGATGCTGTTGATGAGGATGGGGAGGATGATGCTGCTGTTGAGGATGATGACGATGCTGATGATGATGACGAGGATAGTGGTGTTGGTGGTGATGATGATGATGCTGCTGCTGATGATGGTGGTGGTGATGGTGTTGGTGGTGATGATGATGCTTGTGATGATGCTGATGATGATGCTGGTTCTGATGTTGATGCTGCTGCTTCTGCTGCTGATGATGGTGATGACGGTGGTGGTGGTGGTGGTGATGGTGATGATGCTGACGATGATGATCATGATGCTGCTGATGATGATGATGATGATGATGATGGCAATGCTGATTGTGATGATGATTCCGATGCTGATGATGCTACTGATGATGACGCTGATGATGACGACTATGATGATGCTGATGCTGATGGTGCTGCTGCTGATGACGATGACGATGACGCCGATGACGATGCCGATGGCGATGGCGATGATGATGATTCTGATGATGCTGGTGATGATGATGCTGATGCTGATGATGATCACCATGCTGATTACAATGATTATGACGATGATACTGATGATAATAGTGATGGTGATGGTGACGGTGATGGTTGTGATGATGGTGGTGCTGCTGATGATCATGATGATGATGTTGGTGATGCTAATGGTGATGATGACGGCGATGGTGATTATGATGATGATGAGGATGATCATGAGGATTACGATGACGATGATGATGCTGATGACGACGATGCTGCTGATGCTGATGCCAGTGATGATGCCGATGATGATGCTGCTGATGATGATGATGACGCTGCTGATGATCATGCTGATGCTGACGATGATAGTGATACTGCTGATGATGCTGCTGCTGCTGATGATGATGGTGATGATGATGATGCTGCTGATGCTGATGCTGCTGATGATGATGATGATGTTGATGATGTTGTTGATGATGATGGTTCCGATTACGATGCTGATGATAATGCTGCTGCTGATGATGACGATGGTGATGATGATGATGATGATGTTGTTGTTGTTGATGACGATGATGGTGATGATGGTGATGCTGATGATGATGGTGATGATGCTTATGACGATTATGATGATGATGACGACGATGATGATGATGGTGATGATGCTGATGGTGACGATTCGGATGACGATGCTGATGATGATGATGATGCTGCTGGTGATGAGGATAATGATGCTGACGGTGATGATGCTGATGCAGATGCTGATGCTGCCGCGGAGGGTGCCGCTGCTGATGATGAGGCTGCTGACGACGACGACGACGATGCTGAAGATGAGGATGTTGATTATGATGATGATGCTATTGATGCTGATGCTGATTGTGGTGGTGGTGACGACGATGATGATGGCGATGAGGATGAGGATCAGGATGCTGATGAAGATGAAGCTGAGGATGATGCTGGTGATGATGATAATGGTGATGATGATGATGATGATGATGATGATGATGATGATGATGATGGGGCTGATGATGCTGCTGATGATGATTCCGATGATGTTGATGATGCTGCTGATGATGATGATGATGCTGATGTTGATGATGATAACGACGATGATGGTGATGACGCTGATAATAATGATAATGATAATGACGACGACGATGCTGATGCTGCTGATGATGGTGATGGTGATGGTGATGGTGATGGTGATGGTGATGATGATGATGATGATGATGATGATGATGATGATGATGATGATGATGATGATGATGATGATGATGATGATGATGATGATGATGATGATGATGATGATGATGATGATGATGATGATGATGATGATGCTGATGATGATGATGGTGGTGGTGATGATGATGCTGATGATGATGAATGCTGATGATGATGCTGCTGATGACGATGATGATGATGATGATGATGATGATGATGATGATGATGATGATGATGATGATGATGATGATGATGATGATGATGATGACGATGATGATGATGATGATGATGATGATGATGATGATGATGCTGTGATGATGATGATGATGATGATGATGATGCTGATGATGATGATGATGATGATGATGATGATGATGCTGATGATGATGATGACGATGATGATGATGATGATGATGATGATGATGATGATGATGATGATGATGATGATGATGCTGATGATGATGATGATGATGGTCAGGAGGAGGAGGATGAGGAGGAGGAGGATAATGAGGATGAGGAGGAGCAGGAGGAGGAGCAGGAGGAGCAGGAGGAGGACGAGGAGGAGGAGTAGGGGGAGGAGGAATATGACAAGGAGGACGGGGGCGAGGAGGAAGAGGAGGACGAGGAATACGAGAAGAACGAGGAGGAGGATGAGGAGGAAGATGAGGAAGAGGAGGAGGAGGAGGCGGAGGAGGAGGAGGAGGAAGAGGCGGAGGCGGCGGAGGCGGAAGCGGAGGCGGAGGCGGAGGCGGATGAGGAGGAGGGGGAGGAGGAGGAGGATGAGACGGTGGCGGATGAGGAGGAGGCGGAGGAGCAGGATGCGGAGGAGGATGAGGAGGACGAGGAGGACGAGGAGGATGAGGACGATGATACGGATTTGGATGAGGATACGGATACCGATGAGGGTAATGAAAAGGATAAGGATACTGATGCGGATAAGGATAAGGACAATGATACGGATAAGGATAATGAACACGCTAAGGGTAATGACACTAATACTGATGATGCAACTGATAATGATGTTCATGAGGGTACGGATACGGATGATGATAAGGACAATGATACGGATACTGACACTGAAACATATACGAATAAGGATTTTGTTACTGATCATGATAATGATATGTATAAGGATAATGATACGGATACGGATACGGAACCTTATAAGGAGAACTGACATGGATAATGATAACGATAAGGATAATGTTATGAATATTGGTACGTATAAGGATACATGATGAGGAGACGGATGATGATGAGGAGGAGGTAGAGAAAATGGGGTAGGACACGGATGAGGATGATGACGCGGAGGAGGAGGAAATAAGGATAAGGATGCGGATGATGATACTGATAAGGATGAAGATTCGGGTACCGATAAGGATACGGATAATGACAGTGCTAAGGATACTAGTAAGGAACAATGGCACGGACACATGGATATGGACAAGGATACTGATACGGATAAGGACACGGGTAAGGATATTGGTATTGATAAGGATGAGGATATTGTTATTGATAAGGATACGGATGTGGATACGGACACTGATAAGGGTATTCATCAGGATAAGTATAATGATAAGGATAAGGGTACTGATAAGGATATTGGTACGGATAAGGAAAAGGATACGAATGAAGCTGCGGATACGGATAATGAGGAGGAGGAGGAGGATGCGGAGAAGAACGAGCAAGAGGCGGAGGAGGTGGGGGGAGGTGGAGGAGGATGAGGAAGAGGAGGGTAAGGATAGGGATAAGGGCAATGATAAGGACAATGGTGAGGATACGACATCAGGATAAGGGTACTGATGAGGATGATAAAAACACGGATGAGGATCATGCTACTCATAAGGAAAGGGGCAATGATAAGGATACTGTTAATGATCATGATGAGGATAACGATACGGATATTAATAAGGATAAGCATATGCTACGGATACGGATCAGGATACGGATACTGATAAGGAATATGATAATGAGATGGATAAGGGTGCTGATAATGATACGGATACGGATACGGATACGGACACGGATACGGATAAGGATAAGGAGGGAAGAGGAGGATGAAGAGGAGGAGGAGGTTGAGGAGGAGGAGGAGAAGGAGGAGGAGGAGGAGGAGGACCAGGGGGATAAGGATACGGATAAGGAATCCTGATACGGATAAGGATACTGATAAGGATAATGATGAGGATAAGGACAATGCTAAGGACACGGATAAGGAAACGTATAATGATAAAGGATAAGGATAAGGATAGTCATAATAATCAGGATAAGGATACGGGTACTGAAAACGGACAAAGGTAAGGATACTGATACTGATAAGGATGATGATAAGCATACGGATAAGGATAATGATTCCGATGAGGATGAGGATAAGGAGGAGGAGGAGGAGGAGGAGGAGGAGGAGGAGGGGGTATCGGAGGAGGAGGAAGAGGAGGACTAGGATAAGGATAAGGATAAGGATAAGGAAACTGATACTGATAATCATAAGGGTAAGGAAAAGGATAAGGAAACTATACCAGGATGAGGATAAGGATAAGGATAAGGATAAGGATAATGATAAGGATAAGGATACGGTTACGGATACGAAAAGCGATACGGATACGGATACGGATACTGAGAATGCTATTGATAAGGTTACTGCTGCTAATACTCATAAGGATAATGCTAATGATAAGGATACGGATAATGATAATGCTATTGGTAATGATAAGGGTAAGGTTAATGATAATAACAAGGGTACGGATAATAATAAGGATAATAATGAGAAGGATACTGATAATGATAATGATACTGATACTGATAATGATACGGATAATGATACGGAGAAGTAGGAGGAGGATAATGATACGGATAGGGATAATCCTAAGGATAAGGATATGGAGAAGGATGATGATGATGATGAGGATGATGATGATGATGATGATGATGATGGTGGTGGTGGTGATGATGATGATGATGATGATGATGATGATGAGGAGGAGGAGGAGGAGGAGGAGGAGGAGGAGGAGGCCGTGGGGCCGCCGCTTCTGCCGTTGTCGTCGTCCTCGTCCTTCGGTTTTTGCCGTGTCGGTGTCGTCTTGCGTCGTGGTTTGCGTCGTCGCCGTGGTCGTCTTTCTTGTCGTGTCGGTTCGCGTTGTCGCTCTTGCCCCCGGTCGGGTGTCGCGTTCGCGTCCGTTCGGGTTCCGTTGTTTCTCGCCTGGTGCCTCCCCCTCTTTTTTTGTTTCTCTCCTCCTCCTCGCTCTCTTCTGCCTTTCCTCCGCCTTCTGGCGTCTCCTCCCCTGTCTTGTTTTCCTCTTCCTCTCTCCTGTCCGTTTCCGCCTCTCCGTTTCGTTGTCTGGCTCCCCTCTCCTTCCTCTGCTCCGCTCGGCTTCTCTCCGCTCCTGGCTTCCCCTCTTGTCCCTCCCTCCCTGGGTTCGTGCCCCCCGATGCCCTTGGCCTTCTGTTCGCGCGCATGCCCCTGCATTCTGGTCGCTTTCGGCGACTCCGGTGCGTCTTCGGCTCGGCTCTCTCGCTCCCTTCCGACCACTGATGGTTAGCGCTTGCAGCGCAACCCACGGAGTCAAAAAGAGGAGGAGGAGGATAAGTAAGAGGAAGAGGAGGAGGAGGAGGAAGAGAAGGAGGAGGTGGAGGATGAGGAGGAGGAGCAGGAGGAGGAATAACAAGATGAGGAAGAGGAGGAGGCAGAGGAGAAGGAGGAGTGGTGAGGAGGAGGGGAAGGAAAACGAATACTACTATGAATTCATAACAGTGCGAATAGCAAGGATACTACGATTAGTGCCCGGACTAGCACCGCGACCACGACTACAACTACGACTACGACGACGACCATAACGACTTTTTCCGACGAGAACGTAATACCAATAACACGTATACCACTACAAATCATGACACCGATAGCAATGTTATTGAGCATAGGATGGGTAAACGTAACAAAGGTAATTCATTTACGGTACATGATGATGATGCTGATGATGCTGATGATGATAATGATGATGGTGAGGACGATGCTATTGAGGATTGTTGCGATGACGATGGTGGGCAATCTGATTGCGATGCATGCTGATTCATAGGTCGTTGCGCTGCTGCTGATGGTGTTGGTGTTCATCATGTTGTGGATGAGGACGAGGAGGATTCGATGGTGTGCCATATAGGCGAGACCACCGCCGCCTGCGGCCAGGACTATTGCCCCCAGCTGTTCGCCCAGGTGCGGCGCCTGAGCGGCATCTCGAATGAGCAGTTCCCATCGGGGGGGCGGTCGAGTGAGCGAGGGCGAGTTGAGGGAAGGGGGGGATGAGAGGAGGAAGGGGGGAGTACGGAACAGCGGGAGGACGACACGGATGAGTGAGAGGAGGAGAAGGAAGACGAGGAGGAGAAGAGGGAGGAGGAGGGGGAGGAGGAGGCGGAGGAGGAGGATGAGGAGGAGGATGAGGGGGATGAGGGGGACGAGGGGGATGATGGTGATGAGGGGGATGGGCGAGGAGGGCGGATGAGGAGGAGGGGGAGGAGGGGGAGGAGGAGGAGCAGGAGGAGGAGGAGGTGGAGAAGGAGGAGGAGAAGAAGGAGGAGGAAGACGAAGCAAATTAGTACTATTAAGAATTGAGAATATAAAGCATGCCAATTAAAACATTACTAATCATACTATAAGAAGTAAAGACTACGGGTGCTAATGCGAATAATACTCATATCCGATCGATTATGATCAATAGTATGATTAATGTAAGAATAATATACCGAATACTATTATTACGAATAAGACGACTTCCGATACTACTACTACTAAGACTAATAATATGATTAATGATATGATTAATAATACTAGTAATATGAGGAATACTATTAAGAAGGGTACGGCGAGGACCAACAATAGTATTGATACCGCGAACACGAAGCAACATCACACAACTGATTCTAATACTACGAGTAATAAGGCGACACACAATAATAACACGAGTATTACGACTACTACGAATCACAACCATAACGCTAACTATACTACAAATAATACTGACACTATTAAGCGTACTAGAATACGACTAATAAGACAGTGATAATAATACTACTAATACTAATAATAAGCATAGGCATATGACTAATACTAATGACAAGGATGGTACTCGGAATACTAGCCATCGTGTTAATATTCATGATAATGTTACTGCCACTGATCATAACATTAACAATACAAAAACGCTGGTAGTTTTAATAGTACCAATATTATTATTACTAATACTCGTGCTCATCGTAATAGTCTGTCTACCCACAATAAGAACTCTAATCGCAATCACATTGCTACTAATACTACTAATACATTTCGTACTAGGAATACGATTGTTAATGGTAATGTAACTAACACAACGAAGAACACTAATACCACTAATAACACTAACACTAATACTAACACTAATTCTAGTACTGACACTAATGATAACGGTATTGAGGATACCAATGCAAGCACCATTTGTTTCAGATTAATATTATAAATATGGCTAGTGAACATATTAATAGTGCTGATACCAAAACTACTAATAAGGGTATCCAGAATAATTGTACTAGGAGGAGGAAGAAGAGGATGCGGAGGACGAGGAGGAGGAGGAGGAGAGGAGGAGGAGAGGAGGAGGAGGAGGAGGAGGAGGAGGAGGGGGAGTGGGAGGAGGAGGAGGAGGAGCAGGAGGAGGAGGAGGCGGCGGAGGAGGAGGAGGAGGTGGAAGAAAGATGAAGAGGACGAGGAAACGGAGGAGGAGGTGGAAGAGGAGGAGGAGGAGGATGAGAAGTAGGAGGAGGAGGAGGAGGAGGAGGAGGAGGAGGATAATGAGGAGGAGGAGGAGGGGGAGGAGGAGGAGGGGGAGGAGGAGGAAGAGGAGGAGGAGGAGGAGGAGGAGTAAGCGGAGGAGGCGGAGGAGGTGGAGGAGGCAGCGGATGAGGCGGAGGAGGCGGAGGAGGCGGAGGAGGCGGATAATGATGATGATGATGTTGATGATGCTGATGATGATGACGATGATGATGGTGATGAGGATGATCATGGTGATGATGCTGATGATGATGTGGAGGAAGAGGATGATGACGCTGAGGTGACCATGATGATGATGAGGATGCTGATGCTGATGATGTTGCTGATGATGATCATGAGGATGTTAATGATGATGAATCTGATGCTGATGATGATGATGAGGGTGATGCGGAGGCGGGGGCGGAGGCGGAGGAGGATGTGGAGGCGGACGACGATGATGATGATGATGATGGTGATGATGATGATGATGATGCTGCAGCTGCTGCTGACGATCATGATGATGATGCTGCTGCTGATGATGCTGATGCTGATGCTGATACTGATGAACATGATGATATGATGATGCTGGTGATGATGCCGATGATGCTACTGATGCTGATGCTGATGATGATGACGACGATGATGATGATCTGATGATGCTGCTGCTGCTGATGATGATGATCATGAGGATGATGCTGATGATGAAGAATAAGATGATGCTGATTATGATGATGATGATGAGGACGATGCGGAGGCGGAGGCGGGGGTGGAGGTGGGGGCGGATGACGATGGTGAAGCTGCTGCTGATGCTGATGCTTATTG